TTGATCAGCCGGGTCAAATTGATGATGTCAGCATGTCCAAAAGTTTAAAATTCAACAAATACACCCCTAAAAATTACACTTCAGTCCCTATAGGATTGAAATCCAGCAAACATACCGCAAATGCAAATTGACGGTCGACAAGTTGGTAGCAAAAACACATCAAATGCAATCTCACTCATCCTTTGAGTCATTCCCCAAAAAATTTGTCCAAGATCTGGCCGAAATCGCTTCGATTTCAGCTAGATCTCACCACCGCTTGTGTCGACAACCCAGGTCAAATAGGCATATTTTCGGCGTTAACAGCCCTTCTTATCACCACAAAAATACTTCCCTCAGCCTCCTAACCAAAACCCATCTCACCCCCTCATGTTCGCCCCGCTAATCACTAACAATAGGCCACTGCTGCCACAGCAAAACTTTTGCCTTTTCGATTGTTTCACTCATGGGAAATCACATCCTTCGCCATCTTTCAACTCACCGATACTTCTTCAAAACCCCCAACATCCCTGCCACTGTATGCTCACCTATTGCCGATTGTCAATCTAGGGCTTAGGTGAATAATTGAAATTAGGTACCCGGCCTAGTGAAGGCTTCAGGTCCTGGTTAAACCGGTTAACCCAACTGGGTTTTAAAACACAGACTAAAACATCTTAATCAATAAAAATATAATTTTGTCAACAATAACCCTATTAATTTTATATAATTACAATTGTGACAAAACCTTTATGCGTTATGTATTTTTAGTATTATTTTAATTTTTTTTGTTATCATAAATTTTTAAAAATATTACATTAAAATATAATAACATAGTTATCTTTAATTTAGACACATTTGTTTTGTTTTAATTTCCATAAATTTGATAATATAAAATCGTTAAAACATATAACATATAAAACTATATTATACTTAATAAGGATATACACTACAAGAAAAAGTACATTTGGCAACCAATTTTTTTGCAACTAGGCAAAAATAGTTGCAGATACCCCACATTTAGTAACTAAATTCCAATTAGTCGGCCAAAGGGGAGTAAAATTCTAAGGCCAATTTATTCTCACATTTGGCGTCTAAAATTAATATTCTACGACTAATTTGATTTGTTGCCCAAAATATCACATTAGCGACTAATTTATTTGGTTGCCAATTCTTGCGCGAACACAATTGACAACTATAACAAAAGATTCCGCAACTAAAATTATGGTTACAGAAAACAATTATTTGCAACTACTAAATAGTTGCTAAATTATATGCAAATATTTATTAATTAATTTGTAACTATTTTTTTAGTTACAAAATAATACAATTACCGAAATATCCAAGCTTCTGACAATAATTACAAAGGGCCCAGGGTACATTTGGCAACTAATTATTTTGTGCATATTTCAAATAGTTGCTAAAACTCATGTATAGCAACTAAAATGTATTTAGTCGCTAAAAGTTTATGAATTTTTTTTACCCCAACTTTTCTGGTGAAATGAAAAAATATTATTTTAATTTGTGACTAAAATTACTGTTGCGTAACTAATTAGTTAGTTGCAAATTATCTTCTTTTGGCAACTAAGATTTTAGTTGCTAAATGTATGGTAAATTTTGAGGAACCCATGTTCCCGCTTGAAATAAATTGAAATTTTGGGTATGTTATTTTGGCAACTAAAGTTATAGTTGTTAATAGAATTTTTTTGCAACCAAAATATTAGCTACTAAATATTATTTATTAAAAATAATATATACTAATAGTAACCAAAATCAATTTTAATTTTTATGTCAAAGCTCATTCTTTTACAAATGGTATTTCAATTTTATTGTTTGATTTTCAATCCGTATCTTCACAACATTTGCTTTAATTTGTTTAAGCATCTGTTGTTAGTAGAGGTGGAAAAAATGGGCCGGGTTAGGCGGGCTAACCCTAATCCGGCCCGTAAAAAAGAGGGCTCAAACCGGCCCGCCTTAATGGCGGGCTCGGTTGAGCCCAACCCGCCAGCAACCCTCGGGCGGGCCGGGTTACACAATGGTAACCCGGCGGCCCGCCGGGTTGCTAATTTGTCCTCTTTGCAAGAGGCCCGCAACCCGGCGGGTTGCTGGCGGGTTGGCATAGCCAATTCGCCAGTTGGCTGTTGCCAACGGCCAACCCGCCGGGTTGGCCCAAAAAAAAAAAAAATTTATTATAAATCTTTTTTATTTTTTTCAATTACACTTTTACCCTTGAAATATAGCCGTTTTATAGCCGTTGAAGGGGTCTTTTTCGTCATTTTCTTTCCCTATTTTTTTCTATAAATTGGCCCTAAACTCTCATATTTTTCTCACAACTCAAATTCTCTCATTTTCTCATTTTCTCTATTCTAATCTCTATTCTCTCAACTCTCAAGTCTCAATTATTCATTTATTCTCTTAATATTTTTGTTATCAATTTGCTCNTTTTTTTTTAAAATACTAATATGTACAATTTTTAGATTTTGGCCCACCGTATCAAAAATATTAATGTGCAATTAGTTTTTATTTTAGTTCACCCTAATAGAAATTTCTGGATCCGTTACTATTTGAACTTATGGTGTTCTATTTATAATACCAAAATCCTATGGAGAAAATATATGTATGGGATCCTTAGGTATATAACTTTCCTTGAGTATTGGGATTCCAATAAAAACAACTTTTTTATTTTATTAGAATTATTTCTATAATATTCTTATTATGTCCTACTTAAATAGGATATCATGAAAATCTACTTAATTGCAATAATGTCCACCAACTTGTTAAATTTACCCCGGAAGAATAAAGAATTACAAGTGAGACTTTTTTCATTATAATTGATGCTAATTAGTCCTTCCAATACACTATACTCGACATACATACCCACATAATTCATGTAAATATGTAATCACTCATTTTTCATAATATATTTAGACTTTAAAAATATTTCGAAAACAATTTTATATATAGATATATAAATATATAGTATAAAAACTATTTTTGTAAACACGTTGGCAAGCTTTCTTTAAGTCCAATTCTTGTATGAAAACCGCTCGAGCATACTTTCTCACACTTGAGAGTAGTGAGCATTTATAAATGAACATATTATAAACATAACACAATGTGTCTCTATGTAGCCTATAGATCAAAATCACAAGTTGACAACATCAAAATTATAGAACTTATATATAGAAATATATAAGGGTGCGTTTGGTTTATTATTTTAGATAGGATTTTGGGGATAGTATTAGGTTGTTGGATGGGGGAGTATTACGAGGTAAACTTTAAAAATTTATGAAAAAACCCTTAGGTTTACTAATTTAATTAAAGACCCTAATATATAAAATGATAAAAACACCCCCACCACCTGCAGTGCCAGATTCCGGCCACCACCACCGGAATCTGGCCGAAAAATTTCGTTACGACACAGACTGGTCGGATCTGTGCCGTAACGCATCGTTATGGCCTTTTCTGGCCAGATCCACCACAGATCTAGCCAGAAAAGGCCAGATCTACGAACTGCTATGGCTGCGATGGCCGGAAAAGGCTGAAACGACGGCCAAAGATATGGTCGTCGTTGACGGCAGATCTGGTCTTTTCCGCCCAGATCTGGCCATTATCGGCTATTTTCGGTGGATATGTGACTATTGTGATAGATTCCGGCTATCACCGACGGTGGTTGCCGGAAGCTGGCAGGTATTGGTGGGTGGGGGTGTTTTTATTAGTTTTTAAACTTTTTTCTGAGGGGTATTTAATGAAATTAATAAATTTATAGGGTGTCAAGGTAATTAAAAAATAGACTAATCTTTTAGGAATAACGTGCTAAACAATATTTGAAAAATAGAATTGAGAATATAGATAAAAACAATATGACAAATGCACCCTAAATCTCTGAGCTGTCTAAGGACAATAAGTGAATTGTAGCAAAGTTACAATTTTCATATATTTATCAAAATTGCTTTATACAATGTACTTTATTGGATTTTGTTCAGTGCACGCACTTGTTACATCGTACCCACATGTTTGCTTAAGGTTACTACAACAACGGAGTAAGTCATTCTATCATATAGTAGACATAAAAATTATATAATATAATTAATTTGAATAATAAGTGCCTAGAACAAATTTTAGATTACCAGTCATTAAAGATCATCAGTCCCCACCTAGGGTTCATTAACTACTATAATAACGTATATAAAATTAATTAAATAAAATGTTTTTTTTTTTTTTGATTAATTAAGGTGTCTGGGTTAGCTTACGCACTCTTCACTCAACTAATTCTCAGAGAAAACTATCTCACAGTAACCTAGCGGTGTAGCCCCTCAGGTAAATTATGAGTAAAGGTACTGTCTTTACGCCTAACAAGCCCACAAGTAAATCATGAGTAAAGATACTATATTTGTGTCCAACGAGGAATCAAACTAGGATTATGGGTTGAAGCTATGCACAGCCCTTTGGGTTCACCCTTACCGTTGGGCTATCCATGGGTGGGTTAAATTTTTTTTTTTTTAATGATCGGGGTGTTCGTGTCAACTTGCGTGTACCTTAACTAATTATCAAGACCTATTGAACACCTTACAAACCCAAATATTCTAAAGTAAATCACAAATGTGGTAAGTGACCTCAAGATGATTCGAACCCAAGAAGTTAATAAAAGAAACAAACCTTCTTGACCGCTAGACTAACCCCTTGGTATTTTAAATTTGTTTTTTCGGAGCACTTAATTCTAACAATACAAATGCAAACATTATCTTTAATTCTAACAATACAAATGCAAACATTATCTTAAAATTCTCGAGTGATATATTATTTATCACTTTAAATTTATGGTCATTAATATGTTTGTTTAGGGTAATTGTGACATTTTAGGAGAATAATTATTCCATCTTTAATGTACTTGTTAGTATTAGTAAAATTAGAGGATCCTAATTAATTAATTGTATATCACATGTGACAATAGAACAAAAGAATGAAAAAGATTATCCCTGAACTAGACCAAGATAATGATACTATGATATGATAATTTCTAAATATATAATAGAAATTACAATTTAATTATCGGTATAATGTTTGCATAGAAATTCATCAAGAAAAAGCCGAAACTAATAAAAAAAAAAAAAAAAAAAAATTGTGCGTTGAATATTAAGTTTTGATTGCATCTATTTTCTGCAAACAAATTACAATTCAACAAAACTATTCTCCATAAACTTTACAAATTCTCTAAAATCAATCATCCCGTCTCCATTTTCATCAAATTTTCCGATCATTTTCCTGCAATTCTCCAACTCAAATCCTTCTTTAAATCCCAAAACACGAAGAACTCTCTGCAACTCCCTCGCATCAATGAACCCATCTTTGTTTTGATCATAAACATCAAACGCTTCCTTCACTTCCTCCAAGCTCGGTTCCTTCTCCTCAAACAGCCCCGAAACCTCCCTGGAACCGATTTTTTCCGGGAGCTCCTCGCCTCCAGGGCCGCAAAAAAGTGTCAGTTCTTCCATCACCATCTCAACTTCCTCTCTTAGGAGGCTTCCATCATCATGATCTTGCTTCTTCTGGACACAAGAAACACTGGAATCAACAAAATCTGGATTCTTGAGATCACTGCAATTTTCAATATTGGAAAAATGGAGATGTAACAAGAAAAAAGACCAGAAGAACGATAAAAAAGACCAGAAGAACGATGAAAAAAAATTGTCGACTCCTTGAACCAAAGTGAAAAATCTTTCAAATAATGAAACAATAAAAGGAAAAAAGGCAAAGAAAAAGAAAGAATTTTGGTTATTTTTGCTAGCTGATGATGATGATTTCTCCATTTGAATATGGTAGTAGAAATGGTTAAATTCCATAAACGATTGTGAAAGCTAGAGGAATAATTCACGTTGATTTGATGGTGGAGGAAGGAAGGGGGGGTTTAAATATTTATAAGGAGGGCGGTTCGGTTTGGTTATTTGGTCTTTGAAGACGTCAAAGCAGTCAGCTTTGAGAGCAGACGGGGATGGTGGAAGGAAATTGCCTGCAGCCTGCATCGAGTCTATGGAGAAAAACCTGGAAAATACACGAAGAAATGGTCAGTTTTTTGTCATGCGAAAAAGAGGAAGTTTCTGCTGAGCTGCATATTAAGGGCGGTCATTTGGAGGAAAAGTTGTTTCAGGGCCTCAGGCTGGCCTAATTCTTTTTTGTGGATTTGTCTCTTTGTTGTGATTTTCCAAGAATCTGCCGCTTTTTCTGTTTTACATTATTCTAAAGTTGACTTTTTTTAGCTGAGGGATGATTACGTTTAGGTCCTTTAGGTTTAGGTTGGGTACATTTTGATCCACTAGAATAAAAAGAAGTAACACATTTATTCTTTGTCCAAGTAAAGGTGACGTTCAAATTTTTTTTTTTATATAACCTCCCAATATGACATGGTTTAAACAGGTCAGGGTTGACCTCAATCATATTCGTGTTCATATTAAGGATTATAAACATGTGAAAACATTTAATGACGTGATTAATTAAACGAGTTATATATATAACATGTTTATGATATGATTATTCGATTATAACAACATTAACAGTTTATGACATAATTATTTATTTATGAAACAAATATCCATTTAGGATAACGTTAAGACAAACAGGTTAAATGTGTTGAAAGTAGATACGCAAGTTAAATGGTATGAGTCGTATGGTAATAAAAATATGACACGTTTATTAAAAAAAGGTTTATATTCGTATCACTCGTTTAATAATCTTGTCTATTCATGTTTAAATATCTAACACAAATAATTAAACAAATTGTATCGAAGGTTAATTAAAATCTCGTTACTTCTCTATTCACCACAATATGAACCAGTTTTGTCACCCTATATGTCTAAGGGACCTAAGTAGATTATTTCTCTGATTGTATAGGGACCAAATTGTTGTTTTCTTATTTTAGTGGACCAAATAGATCTAAATATCAGGGCCTAAATTAATAATCACTAACTATTGAGAAAAAGCAAAAAAAATACTCATCTTGCCTTTTCCATGCAGTGGAGTGCTAAATTAACTTAAACCCATGAAATTATGGCCTATTTTGGCATTCTTTTATAGTTTCTTTGTTTACTTCTTTAAATGCTTGGAATCTTTAGACAAGTCCTGTGGAATTTTCAGGTCTTGGAAGTAATAGACAGATTTGTCATTCTTTATTTCTTTTCCCACACGTTGTCTCCATTTGGACGTGAAAGAAGGGAAGTTGGTAAAATAGGTGGGAAAATACTTTACTTACAAATTCCGGGAGATTTCCATACCGATCACGTCGCACTTCACATCAGTTAAGATGGAGAATTAGTCTGCAGAATCGGTAAGTATACTCTTGCTCAAATAGATGACACTCCAATGAAAATTCTGCATATATACTGTATCATTTTTACAAATATTTATTTAAAAAAAAAAAATTACCCATTTCAATATTGTTCTCACTCAAGCAAGTTTAACTTCAGAATTCCAAAAGGGATTCAATGCATTAGTGTTGGTATTGATTTTTCTTGTAAAATGACCCTCACCGTTTTGTATTATTAGTGGAAGAAGTTGAACTAATTGATCTCAACTAAATTCAATCTTAAATGAAAGTGACATATAATGTGGAAGATTTTGGTTAGTGCAAATTCGTGGTGGAAGGTGATGTAAGGGTGTGATTCATCACAATGGAGAAATTTCTTGGAAACCAAACAAGGATGTGTTAGTTGGCTAAGCAAGTAAGCAGCCCAAGTGTCCAAGAAAAACATGGAAAGGCTTAGTGGGCTCATAAGCCTATTTAGTCTGAGCCCAGTTCAAGAAAAGGCTCAGCCCCTGATGCTGGCCCAAGGTTGAGTTTGTGGTACGCCGGGGTTCCATAAGACCAAACTAATCACAATCCTATTTGTGGGAGATTGATAGAATTGTGATAGATATTCATGACCTTGCTGAGAGTTGTTCCTCGGTTGATTATCAGTGGACTAGAAGGAAAGCCAATATGTTAGCACATGAGGTTGCCACGTTAGTAGTATCAAATTCTGTGCATCTGAATTGGCTATCGTCATGCCCATCGAGTATTTTGGGGATTTGCCTTCAGGATAAGCCATATTAATTTTGAGTTGGATTAAGTTATTTGATGTCTATTTTATGGCTTTCGTATTTTCCTCTTATGTATGCTTGTTTGTTGTGGAATAGATATTTCATTATGAACCAAAAAAAAAAGTCCTATGTTACCCTCTTTTTTACCATTAAAATGGATAATACTATATTAACATTATTCTATATATGAACCTTTAAGATGAATTATGTTATTTTATTAAGATATTAGATATCGTTATCCTGCATTTTAACTTTTAAGATGGATCATATTAACTTATCAAGGATAATGTTACCTTCGATATTGTTACGTCCCACATCAGTTATTGAAATGAAAAAGATAAATTTCTAATTAAAAAAACTAATAAAAAGTAAAGAAGAAGTTAGATATATTTTTCAAAGTTATAGTTTCTAGTTTACCCTATAATTGCTTCCTTCCATTTCATCTTTTCATGGCCACTTGGCTGATAAAGGTCGTATTACGAGGACGAAGGTCTGGTTATGAAGATGAAGATGAAGATGAGTTTGTAACAAGGGAATATGAGAATCTAGCCGTCTTAGCTCAGTGGTAGAGCGCGTGGCTTTTAACCACGTGGTCGTGGGTTCGATCCCCACAGACGGCGATTTTATTAAAATTCTCAAAATTATTTTAACCCTAAGGGGTAAGTCTGATGGTTAAGAAGGTTTGTTCTCTTCCTTAAGTCTAAACACGATAGTTAATTTTCATCCACATGACAAACACTTAAATTAATCGCTTAAACATAGTTAATTCTTGTCTATATGACAAACACTTAAATTAATCATTTAAACATAGTTAATTTTACATAAACATAAATTTGAGCATTTCCCTAGATTCTCCTTATGAAAACATAATATAGGCTTATATAGGTAGGATAATTGTGTAATTAGATGAAATATTGGGGCATTAGTGAAAAGTAAATATATATAACTTTATATATTTTATACGGGACGGGGTGAGGGAAAGGCATCACCCACCCCACCCCATGGACAGGGATTAAAACGGCCCCACCTCCGCCCTATCCCCAAAAAAACTGAGGCTTTCCTACTGCCCATGTGAGGCAAAGCAGGACGAGACCCTAGAATTTCGAGGAGCATTGTCATGCCTATCAATAGACCTCAAAGATTAGTTAAGGTGTACGCAAACTGGCCCGGACACCCTGGTTACCAAAAAAAAGGGGGAATATGAGTATAAGAAAGGGTAGTTTAGGGATAAATTAAAATATAATTAATATAATTAAATTTGGGGTTTTACATAGAATTTTTCGGGGTTGAAATAACAACACTCTTATAAAAATAGGTATATAGTATTAACTAATAAGTTAGTCTTTCGTGTAGTTCACAAGACCACTGATAAGTTGTAGACCCCTAAAAGGCTAAAACTGATCGAAGGGTGAGTTAGAGCATAAATTTAGTTAGGTCATAACATCATTTTGGATAATTGACGAACACTGATCCATCGACAATATGTATACGAACCATTAAAATAAATTGTATAATGGGTTAATGACAAGTGTTCAACCTATGACAATATGAATCGTTAACCTGAATTATTTTATGGGTAATTGGCAAACGTTTAACCTATAAGTAGGGGTGATAAAAAAAAAAAAATGCAAAAACCAAACCGAACCGAAAAACCGGTTCAATTTCGGTTCAAAGAAATACAAAAACTGGTTTTTTTGTTCGGTTATCGGTTTACGAAATTATGGGAACGGGTTAACCGAAACGAGTAAACCGGTTTATTATAAAAATAATAAAATATATATAAAAACAATCAAAATCAAAATATATAAACTGGTTTATTATAAAAATAATAAATTATAAAATAAAAACAATCAAAATCAAAATATATAAACCGGTTTATCATAAAAATAATAAATTATAAAATGAAAACAATAAAACCGGTTTATTATAAAAATAATAAAATATAAAATCGGTTGAAATTAGGGAAAAATCAAAATAAAAAATAAGTTAAAGGGAAAACCGGTTCAAAACCGGTTAACCAATTTTCTAGCTAACTAAAAAACCTGTTTGGTTTCGATTCAAAAAAATTTCTAAACCAAAAAACGGGTTCGGTTCAGAAAATCGGTTAACTGGTTCGATTAACCGATTGTTAACCCCCCTACCTATAAGGATATAAAATGTTAACATGAATTACATTATATTACTTAGGGGGCGTTTGGTTCAGGAATGTTAGATTATTGCGAATGTTGAATTACTGAAAAGATAGCTTACCTTGGAAGATTACTGGGAATATTTAAGAAAATGTATTTGGTTAGTTGGTGGGTATGCTATATTAATATGGTTGGTTATGGGGAATAAATTGGTGGGTATGTTATTTAAATTACTAAATTGTCCCCTTTACAAATATTAATATAATATTATTTTTATTATTAATTTTTGAATAATTTCTTTTAACCCCCAATATTTCTCGCTAAAATTACCTCAATATTCAAATTAAAAATTAGAAAATTAATACATAAATGCTCAAAACTTTGGTAATTAAGTTACATCTACATGATTTTCATCTTCTTCTTTTGTTTATTTTTCGTACTGAAACAACAAGAGATGATTGAATGTAGAAAATAAGAATATGATAAACCACCCGAATTATATCAAGATTCAAATACTGAATAATATAAAATACCTTTTAGGATTTTTAATAATTCACTAGAATAAAATATAATAAAAACTGCCGTCCTTAGGGGAAAACATCTTTAAATAGTTCTTCGTTAAAATCCTTTATCCGGAAAAAAAACAGAGGGAAAAAAAATTTACAAAACAGTACAAACATCTGGAAATTCAAAACAACCTAAA